ATCTGTTATCTGAAATACTTCAATTGGTATACCATCTATTCCTGGGGCCTTATTTTTTGCTATTTCCTTCAAAGCAGCTTGAACTTCTGCCTTCATCACCATAGGCTCTGGCTCAAATGCTATTTCATTAAATTCTTCTGTATCTGCCTATTCCGTTCGATACAATGACTCAGTATATTCCTTCCATCTTCTTTTGATACCTCCTGGATCATTTAACATTCTGCCTAAAGCATCCTTGATTGTAGCAACTCGAGGTTTGAATTTGTTCTTCAGTTCCTTGAGCTTAAGAAATGCTGAAGAGTTCGGCTCTTTGGATTTTCTGACTCTAGCTCCTCGCACATTTCATTGTAGTATTTTGCTTTGTCATTCCGTGCTGCCTTTTGGAATCTTCTGTTCAGCTCTTTAGTGTCTTGGATTCTTTCTTGTGCTTTGGCTTCTCCAAAGAATTTTTAAAAATTAATTATGTTAATTGCTCTAGGTATGTCAACTCTTTTGCATAGCAATATTTTGTTACACATAATGTGTAACAGGACAAAATGTTGCCCAGGGTTACACTGTCTTCATGATGGTTGTTGGGTTTAATCAGTTGTAACTTTTGGGCCAATCTTCCTTTTTAGTTTGTATCTTTTTTGCTGACCTTTTACTTAAACCATGATTTCCTTATCTAGAGCTTGATCCTTCCTGATCAAGGCATGAACCATCCTTCCCTTCCTTCTGAGGAGCATCATGGTGATACTTCTATGACTCATTTGTGATTGTTTTGGCAGTCTGTGGTCTATTCAGTATTCTTTATGAACTCCATTGTATCTTCCATATTCTTCCCCATATACATCATATATATCAATTATTCTTCCTTGCATTCACATGCATGTAAGGCAGTTGAAAGACCATAGCTTGGTCAGAAGCACCTTTGTCATCAAAGTGACACCTTTGCTTTTGAAAACTTAGAGCAGTCTTCTGCTGCAGATTTGCCCAATGCTTTACATCATTTGATACTGATTGTTGATCTAAGTAGAATGAAGTTGCTGCCAAGTTTAATGACACCTTCAATTTGTCCACAACTATCTGATTTTCTTCTTGCCTTAATTTATTAAAAAATATTAATAACAACCATTTAAAGCTGTATAACTTAGAAAAGGAAATGTATACACATGCACACATACATATAGCTATAAGTGTTAGACTGGCTATCAAGGGATAGCATTTTGTATAATCAAAATTTATTCATTGCAAAAATCTTTTTATAAAATAAATGGTGATTACACATATAAACTTTACCTGATGAAGGTGAAGGAATCAGATTTAATAAATATATCTGTGGAAAGAGTATGGAAAAGCTGGTCTCAGCATTCAAACAATGTCAGATGCTGACCTTGGAACAGACCATCAAGTTAAATTGAAGCTGAAGTCAGTCCACCACAACCTAAATATGTTGATGGCTATATCCTAGTGGAATTGCAGAACAGTCTCAAGAATGGATTTGATGCATTGAAAATTAAAGACTGAAGGCCAGATGAGTTGCAGGGTGACATCAAGCACATCATTCATGAAGAAAGCAGAATGTCATCATAAAGACAGGAGAGAGAGACAGAGACACACACTCAGGAAGTTGCACTGGAATGTAAAGGCGGCAAAACAAAGGTAAAAAATACAAAAGTAAGAGAGTCAAACAGGATTTCAAGGTCCCACTCCAGAAGACAAAGTATTATAAAGCATCCAAAGAAGATTGAAGGGTACACAGAGTCACTGTACAAAAAGTTACTGAGGACCTTCTAAGAACATGCATATCCAAAAACTTCTCTAACAGAGTAAAAAGGGAAGCCACAGATTGGGAAAAAATATTTGGTAATAACAGGTCTGACAAGGGACTTATATCTGGAATTTATAAAATACTCAAGCACCACAATAAGATAAGAGTACATAACCCAATTGAAAAATGGGCACAGGCTATGAACAGACATTTCACCAAAGAAGACATTCAGATGGCAAACAAACACAAGAAGAAATGTTCAAAATCCCTAGCTCTATAAGAGAGATGCAAATCCAGACAACTATGAGATATCATCTCACCCCAGTCAGAAGAGCATAATTTAACAGAACAGCAAATGTCAAATGCTGGCGAGGTTGTGGAGAAACTGGAACCCTTATTCACTGCTGGTGGGAGTGTAAAAATGGTGCAACCACTGTGGAAGAAGGTATGGCGCTTTCTCAAAAAAGTTGCAACTAGAAATACCATTTGACCCAGCAGTTCCACTACTGGCAGTATGCCCTAAAGAAACCATAACTGCCACCCAAGCAGAGATATGCACACCCATGTTTATTGCAACTTGGTTCACAATAGCAAGGAGTTGGAAACAACCCAGGTGCCCATCAACAAACGAATGGATAGAGAAGCTGTGATATATTCACACAATGGAATACTATGCTGCATTGAAAACAAGGAACTCAGGAAATACTATTCAGAATGAGTGACCCTGGAGGACATTATGCTGAGTGAAATATCTCAGTCACAAAAGGACAAATATTGCATAGGCCACAGTGGACTTGGGGGGAGGGACTGCATAACAATGAAAGAGTTTCTTTTCAAGGAGAAGAGTGAATTTTGGGGAAGGCGGTGGGCAGGAAGAAAAGTGCAACAATGAATGACTGGAAACCCCGAGTCTCTGTAATCGTTCACTAAAATTAAAAAATAATAATAAAAAAGAAATACAATGTGAAGGAGAAAAAGCCCCCAAAATAAAATTTACAAAGAACAAATAATTAAAACTTAATTGTAAGAGGATTGATGAATAAATGAGTTACTGAAGTTACTGAAAGAAGAAGTCCAAGCTGCACTGAAGTATTAGAAAGATATAAAGCACTAGGAATTAATGGAATACTAGTTGAGGCATTTCAGGAAACAGAACCCTAGACATGCTCATTAGTCTAGCAATATAGACGATAGCTACCTGTTCAACTGACTGGCAGATCAAACAATTAATAGTAGCAGTCATATAGAATTGACAGTAAACTGCCAGAAAGTCAAGCTGGATTCAGAAGAGGCCATGGCAACAGAGATAATATTGCTGCTGTCAGATGGTTCTTGGCTGAAGGCAGAGAATACCAGAAAGATGTTTTGTTTTATTGACTGTGCAGAAGCGTTTGACTATGTGGAACATAACAAATTAATAGCTGACATTGAAAAGAATAGAAATCCCAGAACACAATATTGTGTTCATGTGTTCTTGGTCTATATCTAGACCAAGAAACTTGTCCAAACTGGTTAAAGTAACACTAATTGGTTTAAAATCACCTTTTAAAAAGAAATGCTTTGTGTCATGATTGTATCCTCTCTTCATACCTATTCAGTCTGTATGCTGAGCCAGTCATTCAAGAAAATGTAGTAGATGAAGAAGAATTGGCAGAAAACTCATCAATAACTTGTGTTAAGTAGATGACCTTGCTTGAAGAAAATGAAGATGACTTGAAGAATGTGCTGCAGAAGATCATACTGCTGTCTTCAATATGGGTTATATCTCGACATCAGAAAACAAAAGTCCTTATTACTGGATCAATAGGCAACATCATGATAGTTGGAGAAAACATTGAAGTTGTCATTAATTTCATTTTACATGTACCCACATCAGCATCTATGATAGTGTCAACTAAGAAATCAGAAGATATGTTGCATTCGGGAAATCTGTTATCAGGGACATTTTCAAGTGCTAAAGAGCAAGCATGTCAGTTTAAAGACTAAGGTGTGTGTGCCTAGTGCAAGCCATGATCTTTTAGATTACTTCCTGTGTATACAAAGAATGTAGGCAGCATCGGGACAGTTGAGTCAGACCTCTTGTAATTGAACAAAGGGGTACTGCCCCTACCAGCAACATCAGTGGTGCAAAACTAATTCCTGTAAGGTCAGAAATAGTGCTCTGGATCTATTTATCCTAATTCCAGCGTCAATCTTATTACTAGTCTACTGTGTCCAGAATATGTTGCAGTGGTCATACAGATCTTATAAAACCATATTCATAGTTATGAAGTTTATTACGGAAGTTAACAGGCAGGAAGTTCAGGTTGGCAGCAGGATACTCAGTCCAGACAACTTCCCCAGTGTGCCTGCAGGCCGTTTGACCTTCAGCTTCATGGCTTAATCCTGCCAGTTATGGGATCTTCTCTTTTTTGTATTTTATGTTAATGTTATTTCTGCATTATTTTATAAGTCTTACACAAATTGATACTGCTTCCAGTTTCGTACATTTGTGTTCTCTAATCTGTTTATGTGGTACTATTGAATGTTTTGAAATTGTTCTTTCAGACTACAACTGCAGTGTCATTTTTGTAATATATTAAGTGCTAAATCATTGCATCCTTTATTCCATTATTGTTGATGGTATGCACCCTTGAGTAGGTGATGACTAAAAGTGACCTCATGAACAAAAGATAGGAGCTTTGTCCTATCCTGCACCAGCCTCTCAGTCTCTGAAATGCTTGAAGCTATTGCTGTGTAAATGTCTCGTTGAAAGTCTTTCTTTTCTATCCTTGATGCTTCCCCCTAATATAGGTGGTTTTTAAAGCTGACCTTCGATTTCAGAATTGAGTGTTCTCTGGCTTATTACTTTGCTATCTTTGCACTTTAAAATTGTTTTCATTGGTCCTACACTTATTTTTATTAATCCATTTTTCTTTTGAGTTTGTTTTCATCTGTTTCTACTTAATATTATTTGTTTAAAACAACAAAAAATATTTTACATTTAGAAGCTCTGGTGGAAGTGTCAGTTCCATGCTTTGATTGATATGTAGACTTAAGATGCAGAAAACATTGTATACCTCCTGTTAGTCTGAAAGAAATAATTTAGTAGGGTATTAGTCCATCTAAATAAACTCTAACCTGATGAAACATTCAGTGGGCCCCCTGCTGTTAAAATATTTTGTAGATTTTTATAACAGGAGAAATGATTCTCTTCTCTGCTTTCAATACTGTACCTATTATATACCAGCATTATTATTTTTTTTCTTAGCGGAAGAGAAAGCCAATACCCACCTTCTTCTTGGCATGTGCTTAGACACCTATGCCCGTTATCTTCTGTTTGCCAAGCAGCCATCACAGGCACTAAAGATGTATGAAAAAGCTTTGCAGATTTCTGAAGAAATACAAGGAGAAAGACACCCACAGGTAAGGGAGGGAAATAAAAGTTGAACTGTGAAGCTAGTTTTTCAGATTTTCCTTATATAAAATGTCACCCTGATTGGGCATTATCTTGCTTCCTGATTATCTTCACATCTTTCACACACCCTACCTTCACATACTTGTTTCAAAAATTATTTAGGATTTCTGGTTAATTGCTGTGTTTATGCATAACATTGCTCTAGTTTCTACCCCAGATAGTTCTTCTGAAATGCAGGTCTGGCCAGGCACCCTGTGCTTCCTTGGCTTCAGGTGCAGACCACAGAACCTTGGGCACGATCTTGGAGGAATACAGACTGATGGATGAAGATCGTTGCCCTCCTCACCCCACACTTAGAATATGTATATCTCTGTGTATTGTGTATGGAGAAGAGTCGGAGGGTGGGGCCTTAAATATGCCGCGGTGATTTTTATCAGAACAGTAAGCACATGGGATTCAGATCCATCACATTGTGGAGGTAATGAGAAGTTAAGGAGTGGATCACTTGCCTAGGAATATTTGGTGTCTTTAACGTAGAATACAGTATTTGAAGGGACATTTTTCAAAACAGAGCAAGTATAGTTTTAGAAGAAAGTGGACTCTGAGGTTTGGATTATGACCAGGAATGGACTGAGGGTTTATACAAGAATTCCCAATGGAATATCATGAAAATGTAAGCATGGCATTTAAATCACCTAAGACTAGTGACGGGACGTTAGTGTGGAAGAAGCTATGGAAGTGGACTCTTTCAACACTAACATTTAAAAACTCTTCAGGAGGATCTTATTCTTGATGAGCCTCAAGGTCACCACTAGGCTTTGATTATAATATATAGGCAGTGAAGTTATGGTGTTGGTTGAACTGTAGAAGCATAAGGGAAAAGCTTTTTTGTTTAGCTTTTATTTGGTGCTTCTAATTTAATAATTACTTGGGTAAATAATTTGTGGTCACCTTGTTCCCTAATTTCTAGATAACTTGTTCTTATGGGTTCTTATGAAGCTGTAAATCACATAGGAGGTTGCCTGTCTTTCTCCCACAGAGCATTTGGCCTGCCTGCCTTTGGGTTGGCAGCACAACTTACACTAGACCACCAGAGCTCCCTTGAAGTATATATATTCGCAGTTTATCAAGCTGTAAATTGTTGAATCTTTGAAGGTGTGTGTTTATTTTCTATCTAGACCATTGTACTGATGAATGACCTTGCTACTACTCTGGATGCACAAGGGCATTTTGATGAGGCTTTCATTTATGTGCAGAGGGCATCAGATCTGGCCAGACAGACCAGACATCCGGAGTTACACATGGTACTCAGCAACTTAGCGGCTATTTTGATACACAGAGGTAGGTAGCACCGGAACTATGACTGGCCTGCTCTAGGGGTGGATGCTGGTTTTGCAACTGTGAAAAGGACAGAGGACAATGATTTAGAAGCCAGCTAACTAATAGCTGAAAAAGGAAGTTCTGTTTGGTTGACATACCACTATGTTCAGGCCACATCACAGCTGTGCCCCACACTGAGCCTGCAGAACCACACCCAGTGTTTGCAGATTTTTTAAATGTTTTCAAACTTAGTCTTAAATTTGTTCCTCACAGTATACTCATGAATATGTAGTCTTTTTTTGAGTATCCACACCACATACTATGCCATACTGCTTTAGTACATCCCCTATAATTTTTAGAAACCTGAAATGACAAGTATTTCTGACTGAAGTCCTTGCTCAGTTGAGGGTCCCACGGTGTACTAGAAATTATTTCGTTAGTTTCCCATTATGTCCTCAGTTAATTCCCCACAGAATTACTGAGTTAGAACTCTACTGGTCATGATCAGAAATCCCAGTGTTCACTGGGTTATAGCTCTATTACCTGGACCACGTTATAGCCCCTTTGAGCCAGTTTCCATATCTGTAGATTGGGGATGAGGTGAGGGCAGTGCCAGCCTGTAAATGAGGACAACAGACCTGTACTGTCATTGGGGCTTTCTATTCAGAATCACTTGGAAAACATGGCCTTTTTTCTTGTTCTTCCTTTTTCTCCTGGATGACTGTAGAACGATATGCACAAGCCAGAGAGATCTACCAGGAAGCGCTGAAGCAAGCAGAGCTGAAAAAAGACGAGCTTTCCATACAGCACATCAGGGAAGAGCTGGCTGAGCTGTCAAGAAAAAGTAGACTTTTGATATAATTTTGTCAAGCTCTAAATAAATTGTTTGGTAGGATATTCTTTAAGTAGCCCAGAGGAATAGCTATTATTCTATGGTTATTGACTCCCAGATCAGTGGTTTAAATCCTTTCCCCTGGATAATTCAAGTTTTCCCAACTTCTTGGTGAAGGACAAATTGTATAGACACCACTTTTCTTTTTAAAGACTGATCAACTACCACCTCTTAACTCTCGCCGATTTTGACTTTTGGTAAGGAAGGCCACTGATTTCAGTTTAACACATGGCAAGTTCCATCCATCTGTGCTGGTCATGTCACTCTAGATGATGCTTAGCCTGCTTTCCTCTGTGAAGAGGGAGGTTGGTCCACTTATGTGCTGTCCTTCCCTCTTTACCTGTCAGACAGCAGCTACTTGTATCATGGCAAAGGGGAGTTGTGGTGAGTTCTTTTTCTTTATAATATTCTCTATATAATGACTATAATAATATTCATATCTAATATATGTATATAATAATATATATGAATGTAATAGTCTCCGTAAAATTTAGTGTGGAATTTTCATACATAAAGGAGGAAAAGTGGTATCTTCAGTTGGACACCAGCGCACAGCACCCATTGTAATGTAGGAACTCAGTCACTCTGACTTATTGCTGCTGAGTCAGAACCAACTCATGGCAGGTTTTCAGAGGCTGTAATTGTACATGACGAGATTGCTCTTGCCTAATGGTTTTGTCCGTGGAGCTTGTGGTGGATTTGAATGGTTGGCAGTGCCACTCCATAGTGAGCATCCACCAGCACTCCAAGAGTAGGAACCAGGCCCCTGAACAGTAGAGCACTCATCTGATCATAAATAACAGTGAGCTGTATTTTTCTATGTATGCAACTATTAAAAAGGGAGGGAAGAAACTTGAACTCTTGCTTATTAATGCTTTTTTGGCATTTATTTGCCAGCTAAGTCTTGCAGCAGAATAACAGGGATATAGACATGCCAGGCTGTACGCAGAAGGTAGGACTCTAAAGGTAATTCTTTTTTTTTTTTAAATTATTTTGTGTGTATGTACCGTCAAATCGGATCTGACTGGTACAGGAGGATATTGCTCCTCCTTCTCCGGCAGAGTATCTGGTGGATTCGAACCATGTACCTCTGGGATTGCAGTGCAGCTTCTTGCCCCTAGGCCACCAGAGCTCCCTTAAAGGTAATTCTTACGTGTGTTGCTGGTATGACCAAAGCAGCACTGACCAGGCATTATATATAAATTTGGAGACGAATGAGATTCTCTCTTGACCCTGGGAGCAAGTGTTTGGGCATATGGTCTTTAAGGAATTGACTGCTATGTTGAAATAGCATGCCTAAAAGTATGTATAAGAAAAGAAGATAAGGAACGTCATTCAGTAGGCTTGTAATAGCTGTCTGTCTAAGGAAAATGAGAAGTTTTCTAGGTACCATTGGTACCTACAACACTGGTAACTGGTGGGGTTAAGGATGTGAACAGACCCTGCAGACTGGTGGTTTTGGTTTCTAAATAAGTACTGGAAAACTCCTTTCATAATAAACTAGTAACTGTATAGTGATTGTAGATATTTAATAACCCTTGAGTTTATTATAAAAAGTAACTTAAGAAAAATTTAATAAAGCTGTAAAGTCCGAATCTAAAACTTTGTATTCTGCAAATGTTAATTTCCCCTCATGTTCTCAGCCCATCTAGTATAACCAGCTAATTCTTTTAATCAAATCTAACTCAGACACATAGTATAAATCAGATTTGCGTTTCAGTGTAACCTAATCTTAAATTTATTTACTTGTTTTTGTAGCTGCTTTGTTGGGATTACTGAAAATGACATTTTTCACTCCAAATTTTATTGAAGAAGTTTGATCCTCCAAAATAATTCAGTGGTCCTGGGGCTGGAAAAAGTATATATAGTTTTCAGGAAGACAAGTTTCTTTCTGTGTCTTATTACAGGTCATTTGCACTACTGTAAAACAAGATAACAAAGGAAAAAAAAAAGCCTTTCACCGAGCAGTCTGAATCAGACCTGTCATGTTAAAAATAGTGTGGCTTAAATTTTTGAACTGTACACATCACTAGAGTTTTCAGAGAATACATGTTTTAAAAAATATGGTCATTCAACATACCAAAATTTTAAAAATTACATTTCCAATCATAAGCATACACTGAAATGGTGACAATCAGATTCTGCCTATGAATATTATTAGGAAGACCTTAATTGAGTTCTAGGTGCTAAAAAAATGTAACTTCAGAACATATAAATCTTGGTCTGCCTTTGGTTTACAGCAAATGTCAACTCAGTGCTGTGCTTGACGTTTAACTCATGATCAAATGGACCTCCATTTGTCTGATGCTTTATTCCATAGGCAAGCCTGGCCATAGAAGCATTCTATTCTTTTGCCATATTGAACTAAGAAAGGACCCTGGATTTTACTTCCCAATCCAATCTCCAAATGATGGTGGGCAAAGAGACAGATGTGCAGTGTGGTCAGGCTAGGGGGCAGTGGCCCCGACCGCACCTATGGCCCTCAAGTAGAACTGCAAAAAGAGCAAGTTATGCTCTCATCTGACATTTTCCATTGTAATAGCTTGAAATCTTCAAGGTTAAAGGATTTGGGGCAGTTGAAAATATAAGTTATATATGAATGCTGAATTACCAGTACCTTAAAAAAAATGAAGCCAAAAACTTCAGTGGTGGTGTATGTTTCTCATCTATATTAAAAAATATATATGTGTGAGAGAGAGAGTGTGTGTGTGTATGTGTGTGTGTGTGTGTATAATAAATTGATGCCAACTTTTCAAGTAGCAGGGACGCTGACTCCCAAGCTTGATCTGAAGTTTATTTTGGAGAGTTCAAGTACCAGAGCAGCAGTTACTAGAATAAAGGCATTAGCTTCAGAAAACATGAAATGCCCTGTCACTGCCATTTAGAACTTATATGGGCAAAGTTCTGAAACCTTTTTGCTCATCCATATGGTTAGGGATTAAACGTCACTATTACAGAGTTGATTTGAGGTTCTTGATAATGCATATAAAGCAGCTGTTATAAAAGCAGCACTCAGATGCTAGGCCTAAGAGGCCTGAGTAATTTTGTTGAAAAATCGACTTAAAACTCTGTAAAGTGCTATTTTTTGTCATCCTGAGAGACTTCTATTTTTCCCCCACTCCAGTTATCAGTGGTATTTTCCCAAAACCATCAGTATCAAGGGAAGGATAATTTCATATGCTTCTATTATATGAAAGGTATCTAAAAATAAGTGATTCTTAATGAAAAATAAAACCTACCCTCATGTACCACAATTAGTTTAAAATTCAGTCTTTAACTTATTTGCACCTTGAAAATTGAGGAAATCAAAACATCCAACAATAAATAAATTCTTGCCCACAAGGAATGAAAGTAGAGTAAGTGCTGCCATACAGAAGTAGGAAAAGGGCCTTCTGTTCACCAAGAGTGCTTCAAAAGCATGACATAGAAAATTTACGCAGATTCTACATTTTAATTAGCCAATTGCAAATATTAAGGAAAAATATTTTGGTTTTCTCCTTTGTAACCTGAGACACCAAGAGCCTTAAATCACAAATAATTTACTATAGCTATGGACAGGGTAGTCAAATTTATTTTCAAAATGAAAGCTTTGTTTGGCTGCCTCAAATGAAAGAGAAAATATTTATACTTAGGGGCATGGTTAAATTACCAGTGTGCATTAACAGTGAGGTATGCGTCCAATAAGCTTTTAAAACTTTATAAACAGCTATAACATACCCATGCAGTAATATTTTTTCCATTGTTACTAATGGGGGGGGGGGGGGGCAGAAGCCTGCACTGGAAATTTACATGTGGCAGAATTTTGTTTCTCCTACTCTTTGACCCTAAAACGTTAATGTACAGGTTATATGACAAGGGTCTGTGTTAAAAATCTAAACATTTCACAAGATTTTAAACATCACTGAGAAACTGAATAGAGGAAACAAAATTGGATCAAAATACAATGCCCATTTAACAGCCAACATTATGTAATTGGGCTGTATGAAGTTGTTTAGAAGGCAAAGGTTAAAAAGATAAATGAAAAAATTTTAAAATTTGCCCCCAAAGTCAG